ACATTTTTGGACACCCCGTATAGATGAAGCATGAAACTGAAAAAATGCTCAAATGATCTGAAAATTTTGCAACTCTATCTGCAAAAGTGACTGACTTTCACTAATTAATAGTAATTTGACGATCTCATATTAATGGATACTCCTTCTCATCTACTTGAGTGACTTGAGTGTATTCAATAGAGTTAACTACCAGAGGTACATAAAATTGATGCTCGGTGAGAGGCTCACTGCTGCCAATTTTCGCAGGCATGTAAGTGAGAGCAAATGGGTTAACATTCAACCAATAGTGAGACGGATGATGCTGAGCAGGTACATGGTGATAAGAACTGACTGAGGGACCAGTAATAGGTTTCTACTTGTTGGATTGTACATGTAAATATACAGGGTGACTTTGAAGTTGAGTCATTAATTTTCAGATAATGATTGTAGAAGGAAGATAAACCAAAATATGTGTGTAAAAATAAAAAAAAATTAAAAAAATTTGTTTACCTTACCCTCCCGACAAGTATTTTAGTGCGGACCTGTATTTGATGGTGAGGTCTTGGAGCACCGGCATGCAGTCCTCTGTGAGGTCTTAAGTCACCTGATTCACGAGCCCGTTGTACTACATTAACAAAGGTACGAGGGGTTGGTTGCACTCGATTGGGAAAGCGATCCGCATAAATATGTGCCATTTTTTATTTCGTTTGAGCCGCTCAGCAATCACCACTATTCACTCACGCGTTACCGACTGACACAGACTGAATAAAAACATCGTGATCAGCGTTTCAAATTCTTTCGCTTTTTTGTTTCCGATGCGATGAACCGATAAGGTGGATTATATCCGTTGTTGCCAAACACGAGTACATGATATTATCATTGAAACAGGGCGGTACTCAAACTTCCAAAGGGCTATAACTTTGTTACTTTAATTTTACCGGAAAAATGGTAAAGGAAAAAAACATTTCTTTTGATCAGATCTACTCACTGTTAAAATAAATGACTCAACTTCGAAGTCACCCTGTATGTACTTATCTATATGTATGCACACTTAACTAAACTTAATGGGTTTTAGTGAGTAAGCCGCTTCTGGAGAATCTCTCACTTCGATCAGGAAATGCTGAGAGGGCAACACTGTTAAGCTTTTCTGCTCTGTTAAAAAAAATAACTTATTCGAAGTTTCAAAATTAAAGTTGTTTACGTTTTATGTTCATGGCGAAAACAACAGAGAAATGCAGACATGAGAAAAATGGCACATGCGCAGAAACTGAGATACATTTCTGACGTCAAGGCTATAGTTGATAGCCCGCCTTTATTCTCGACACTTTTGGCTTAACCCGCACTCTGTGGGCTTACCCTCCTGTTTCCAGTCTTCTTGGTGTGCGTATAGAGCACAAACATGCCACCTGTATTAACTTTATGAACTCGGTGGGATTTTACTGTCTTAGTAAAACATCTCAATTCATCTATGGTTAACTTTATTCTGTTCAATTTTTATTGTTAGGTATTGTGAGGTACCTGCTTGCTTACCGCAACATTCACGGTGACCTCTATTACTTGCAATACCTAACATTTGGTGATAGTTTCTATGACAATATTTATACAGTGTGTTTGGTTTCTCTCAAATAACTTAAAGACGACCTTAAAGCAATCGGATGGCTAGAATTTAACCTTTACGCATTTCTACAGGTAATTGATTGTTTCATTTTTCTGAGAAGTGTAATATTTTAGCTTTCCTTTTTTGGTGATTAATGTTGTGAGGTGTGGCATATTAAATTTACTTACTTTTTTTTCTCTTTATAGTAGCTTATCAATTGGGTCTGTCTATGTCTTTAGGTCGGGTTGGAAAACAGCATAAGCAGACACTCCACCTTTTCGTCAATATTTTTTTCTTACTATCAAGTCTATTATTTTGTAATGCTATGACGAATAAAGGCCATTTATTATTATTATTATTATTAAATTCAAGGCTTTCCAAAAATATTATCATTGATCCATTATGTTACAGTTTGGGCTTAGTCGGCCCTTAATAAAATTCAAACGAGTCAACCGTTTTTCATAGACCATTAAGATCGCATTTAGTTATTAAACTTCCAAAATTCCTTTCGATTTTGCCGTGTTGTCAAAAGCTATTGAGGTAATGAATCTAATGAATATAGTCGATTTCGTGTTAAATATCTCTCAAACTAAAGCAAAATTATACATATATCAAAATCTAGAAATACTTTCAATTTTTTATTTTTTATATAACCGGGCATGAAGTTTGCGGGTATTGGCACAAAATCCATCAATCAAAAGGAAGGATTTGCGCCCTACTTGAAGACTAGACCTGATATAATGCCTAGGTTAATATTATAACTACTTACTATTGAGCATTTTATTGAAAACAACAGTATAACTACTTAACTGAGAAAAAAAGATTTATATTTATAGCAGCCCATCTAGTCTATTGAGTTGCCGTATAATATAGTTTGTACTGTTTCTCGCTATGCCTTGCACACTGACTGTGTCCGAGCGATATTTATTTGCAAGATAAACGTTTGCAATAAATTGTTGTGCTATTTATAATAAAGGCACGCATGTAACCTAAGTTTCTTCGTCAATATATCTGTATATATAATACAGGTAAAACCAAATTTGTCGGCTTGACTTCAATGTTTATTTATTTATTTATTTATTTACTCATGTTTGGGGTGCAACAGAATGTGAATTCCAAAGACAGCACCCGCTGCTTACTATAGTTTAATTAAAAAGATACATATATTACAAAATCCAGAATATATGAAAATCTGTAACACAAGCCTACTATATGAGAATAAACAATACTATGATATAGCAGCATATATACATATAAACGATATAAATTTAAAATTTAATTTTTTAAAAAAATAAGCATGTATCAATTACACTATTCCATGAATCGCACTATTCACCAAAAAAACACAAACACAGCACGTTACTAGACAGCTTTGATAACATAACATATAAAATACTATGTAAAAGTATATAAAAGTATTAATGGTTGACAACAGTATCACAGCAAACAAACAATTAGGTAGTATGATACTATCCTATGTAAGCTGCCTCCTTACCGTTGCTTTAAACTTGTTAAAATTAACGACAAAAATGTCCAAGTTTATAGAGGTATCGTTAAACACCCTCTGGGCCCTAATTACAGGTGAGTTGACTCCTAAATTCGTTCTATAGAAGGGAATCCTGAAAAACTTGGAATGGCGGTAATTTCTATCTGGCACATTAATATTTATTTTTGAAAGCAAATAGGGACAGTCAAAATTGTTGAATATTTTATACATAAGACACACGTCGGACATCATTCTTCTACTTTTTAATGTCATGATATTGAAATGTCTAATATGATCATAGTTTCCGTCACGTACCGGATTGCCGATTTTAAAACTTAATCTCTTCAGGAATCTATTTTGTACACTTTCAATTCGATATATGTATGTAATATACTGAGGGTTCCATATAACTGAAGCAAAGTTCAACTTGTTATAAATATATGCATAATATATTTGGTACCGGTTTTCTATGAGACATTTGTTCCGGGAGAGTCTAATAAAAGTACATTTATCAGCATTTAGAAACAAATCATTATTGTCACAAAAATTGACAAAAGTATCTATATCACTTTGGATTTCTTTACAGTCATTAATGTCTCTCACTGTATGGAATGCTGAAGTCAGTGTATATGCAATCGACTTGAGTCTTGCTATCTAGAGCTCCACAAATATAATCAGTGTAACACAAAAGATTAGATTCTAGGGAACGGTTTGGAAAAAATCCGTGCTGTTCGTCGATTATTATGTTTTTTGCTGATGGAATTATTAGGTTGTAAACAACTTTTTCGAGCAACTTTGCAAAAGTGCACAGACCACTGATAGGTCTATCATTTTTTACCAGTTGCTTATCTCCATTTTTGAATATCGGAAGTATATGTGCAACCTTCCATTTAGTAGGAAAATAATTCTTATAAGATCTGTATTTTTTATGAAATTTGTTTTTTCTTTGATCTTCTTGATCGTATCGTGCTTAAAATAAGAGGGAAAGGTCCCTCTTACTCTAAATGTAGGTACGTTTGAGGCTATTGCTGAGTTTAGTTTTTCATAAAAAATATCAACCATTTTGTCCAAGCTGTCGACATCGAACAACTTGACCCAGTTTATATTGTTAAATAAAGAATTTATAGCTTCGAAGTCTGCTTTTTTAAAGTTGTGAATAGTACGCTTCTCTTGAGATAACAAGCTGAGCCTTTTGTTGGAATAAAAAAACTCGATAGCAGGATGATGATTTTCCTCATTAACTAAACCATCGGCGGTATGCAATATATTTAAAATCACACCTTTATTGGAGAAAATTAGATCTACCAATGTATTGTTGCAATTAGCTATTGAATTAAATTGTGCCATTTCTAGGTAAGTAAGAGTATCGATCAGAGTGGCATATTTATCTTCTACTCCTTGAGGCTCCAAGTAGTACAATTTTGTACTGGAACCCAATTTATAGGTGATAAATTGAAATCACCTGTTATTAGAACTGAGTTTTTTTGGAAAATATACTCATTGTTCTGTAATTTACTATGAAAATATGTATGACGACTATGTCGTAAGGAGGCAAGTACACACAGCAAATGAAAACAGTTTCACTATTCTTAGGACTAACTGATATCCACACATTCTCGGCCTCAGATTCTAGATGTTGACATCTTCTTGATCCTAGGGTCTTTTTTACGGCGATCAGTACACCGCCACCATCTTTTTCATTGGAACTGGTTGTTTCTCGATCTCTTATATGAATGTTATAGCTATCATTGTTGAATACACCTGATTTTAACCATGTCTCAGTCAGACAAATTACTTTATAATCAGCTGCGTGCGTATTATTGTGGAAAATTGTTGTTTTTGACCGAAGGCCTCTCACATTTTGATAATATATGCTCAATTTTATACTTTTATCCATTAAAAACCGGGACTATTATCTAGATGACATAACCTAAATGTTTATTTGATATTTTTGATTGCTTCAGCACTACTAATGTGAATAGTCTTGGAGGTATAATCTTTTCTAACAAATATCTGTCCACCTTTAGTCCATACCAATTTATACTTTTTATTTTTAGCAACTGTTCTTGCTTCTTTGAAGAGTATCCTGTTTGCCAGAGTAAGATGCTCATTAAGATAGACAGTCTCAGATAGACCTGTGATGTTCATTCTAGGTGAACCATTCTCGCGCTCATTTCTTTTGATTTTGGCAGATGCTAGTAGGTTTTCTTTCAATGTCCTGGTGGTAAAGTAGACTATTATGTTTTTGACGGTATTCTTTGAGTTCCTATTAGACTGGACACGGTGAAGGTAATCAATCTGCTCTGTACTGGCACCATAATTAATGTAGTTTCCGATGTTTTTAACAACTTCGATCAAGTTTTCTTTCTCTTTTTCCGGAATTCCTTGAATCTCAGTATTGTTGGATCTAGATGCTTGATCCAAGTCATTGAGTCTTTTTTTAAGATCAGTAACTTCTGTTTTTAAGTCCAGATTTTCTTGCATTAATTTTTCTGTTTTGCGTATGTATTCATCAATATTTAACAGTTTTGCTTCAAAATCAGAAACCTTGTCACTACAGAAGGAAACCGAAGATACTAGTGAGTTTTGCTGCTCCCGTATTTGGCGTAGTTCCCATTTAATATCTTGCATTGCGCTCACCATCCAGTCATCAGTACTAACAGCTGTGCCCATGCCGTTACCAGCCTGAAATAACATCGGGGTAAGTGTGGAAGGTCCCAGCGAACGCCTCGACGATGTTTCGCCCATGTCCTCTCGGCAATTCCGGCAGATCCAGGTCACGCCGTCTGCTCGTAGACTGTCTAGATGTTTTGTTGGCAAGTCGAGACATCTGGCATGATAAAAACCCTTACAAAAACCACTACACCGTACGCCAGGATTTCTGCGATTCACGGAATCGTCACAGATTTTGCATAGTTTATCAGCCATCCTATCAGTTTTTACTTTGAGATTAACACAATCAAATATTCGACACTAATTGCTATAACTGACCAAAATTTATGATTATTGTCTTTGAAAAAACCTCAAGGTAACACAATTTTGCACGGACGACCGAATACCGTTACCGAACATTCGGATTGTACATAAACACTGAGAGAGAAGCGCGGGAAGTGTGAATCAACACATGTTAGAACGAGATAGAAACCGGCTGAAGAGCGAAGGTCATCAAAACATTGCTTAGCAACGATGACGCAGAAGGTCGTACAATCTGCCGCGTTGCCAATATGTTACACCATAAAATGTTCACATAGGCTTCTACAATAGGTTAGGTTAGTGTCAAACACAAGAAGGAGGTATGTTCGAAAATTTAATTTAATATTTTGTTTTCATTTTGATTAGAGTTATTTATTTCAATTATTTATGAACGTTATGCAATACAATTATCACTGCCTGCGTGTACGCATATTAAAGCCACATCGAATCAGAACGACACACTCCTACGAGTGCTAGATGGGTACTTGCCAACATCGATCAACTATGATTATGAAGGTGGGGACCTTGCCTTTGTGATGGTTCAGAGTGTTCCGACCATGTGAATTTCCCGCGCGTGCAGTGAACAGTTTCGTGGATAGTTTGCTCACAACGGCAACATTGTAGGAGCTGCGGAGGCAGTTCGCCCTAAACACTCGAAAAGATGAGACGCCCTTGCGCCGCTGCGGCCAACTTCTTGTAAAACTCTGTTTGTTGTCGGTGAATATATGTAGTGGATTATTAAGTGAATTTTATTAACCACGTCCATCGCATTTTTGGCACCCAACTAGTGGCACGATCCAGCCCAGAAGGAGAAAAAGGAGTTAGAACCACGAGGTCAGCAACGAGTTACCAGTGCTACCAAAGGTTTGGGGATATTGAAGTCACCAGTAAACCAGTGCTACCAATGCTTTGGTGGGAGCTGAAAAGTTACCAGCAAAACGAATCAAAACAAGAATTGTTTTGAACCAAGTAAGCAAATTAGCAATCCTGCTTTGAATTAAATTTACATAAGAGGCTACAAGATCTGCTACAAGTCTTGAGTCAAGGCTTTTTCATTAGAGTTCCGTCAGCCTATAGGCGAAATTACAAAGCTGCTGACATCCAGTGTGGAGGAGCGACGAGGAATTAATTATCCGGTGAGGCTAATCCATTTTCATAGTACTGTTGCAGTGTGGAGGGTGACTTTTTTTTCTCCGATAAATACTTTTGAAAGGACGTTATCGCGTACAGACATTGTCACGTATTTGATGCTTTTGTGTAGTAGTTAGGCTAGGAGATATAGTAAAATTCTTGTTAGTTACTGGCATACATTTTATAACAGCAATTATGGGTAAAGGTAAAAAGAGGGGAAGCGAAAGCAGAAACAATGATTCTGGCTCTGAAACCCAATGTGATATTGAATCTGTTATTGGTAAATTGACAGAAACTGTATTAGATCTCAGAACTACGGTGATCTCTTTGCCAGAAAATGTAAAGGATATTGAAAAGCGCTCAGCACAGTATCAAGGCTCTACTCCAAATGAGACGGCTCAAACTTTAACTTCAAATTCTTTCAAAGTGGAGGAATCTGTTTCATTTGTAAACAAAGCATATATTTCGCATTGGAAAGAACTAGGAGGGGGAAATATTCATTTGAGTCCTGGAGGGAAATTGCATTCGCGAGCCTTCCTAAATAAAATGAAAAGCTTATCGCTGAAGCTAGAGTTCCAGAAAGGTCTAAAATCAGTTTTGTTTTACCATGCCTCAAGGGCAATGCAAGTGATTGGGCCGCAATAAAAGAGACCACTTTTCAAAATTATGAAGATTTTGAAAACGCATTTTTAAATAAATTCTGGTGGGTAGAACGTCAGAGAGAACTTTACCTCACTCTGACTTATGGACAGTTTCAAGGGGGAAACCGAGCAGAATATTTCCTTAATTTAGTCTGCCAATCACCGCACCTATCAGAACCAATTCCGGAGGCAAAACTGATAGAAATGTTAGCGAGACATTTTAGTCCAGAAATACATCGAGGTATTGTTACCATGGGGCTTAAAACAATTGACGCTTTAACGAAGATCACGAAAATATTTTAAGTGATTCAGATGATAAATTTGAGGAGGAAAATTATAATATGGAAATGTCATTGCCTCTCATTGATGTCCAAATTGCTGACATGGAAGCCGAAGCACTAATAGATAGTGGTAGTGAAATTACAGCCATATCGAGCGATTTTCTTGATAAGATTTCCAGACGAATTTCCGTACCTGTTTTTCCAGTTACGAATGTTACCGTGTCTATGGCTGTAGGAGGTCAAAAACAGAGGGTAACCAAACAGATTTTATTACCCATTAAAATTCAAGATAGTTGTATAGAAATGCAATGCCTTGTAATCCGCAATTTAAATAGTGACATCTTGCTAGGAGACAACTGGTTAAAAGAAAATCATGCATTTTTGAATTTCTGGAACAAAACTATGTGTTTCCATATCCCAAACACTGAGGAAACCTTAAAAATCCCATTTAAATCGGAGATCGCCGAAGATCCCATCATAAAAATTAATTTATGCAGGTCAGAACCTGAAAACTTCAGCACCAGGGAAAAAATTAGTCACGTATCTATTTTTAGCGAAGGGCACCTGTCGCCGCGCAGATAACGTATATACGGGACTGAAGACGTTGCCAGAGTGATAGGGAAGGCGTGTACCGGGGATGATGAGAAAGCACGGTTGCAGAAGCTGCTCCAGGAAAACTTACATGTTTTTTCGGAAAGCCCAGGCAAAGTGTTGGCTTATGTTCATAACATTGAAATCTTAAATGAGGAACCTTTTCACTGTCCATCATATCCTATATCATTTATTTGTAGATCGGCGGTAAAGGACCAGATTGAAGAAATGTTAAGCTGGGGGGTGATAAAAAAGGCATGCACCGAATACATATCTCCTCTAGTAGTTGTAAAAAAAAAGATGGCGCGGCACGGATATGTCTAGATACCAGATTTCTGAATTCTAAGATGAAAAAAGACTTCGTTAATCCTCCTGATCCGGAAGAGATACTTTTTCAGATTAGAAAAGGGGAAATCTTTAGTACTATCGATCTGACAGCCTCGTACTGTATTTACTAGACTTCCTTTTGAATTGTCAACTTCTATGGCAAGCCTAATACGCTGTCTGAAACAGGTATAAGCAGAGTGTGAATCGTTTATTGATGTTTACGTCGATGATATCAGAGTTCATTCAACGAGTATTGATGAACATTTACGGCATTTAGCTATAATTTTTAAAATTTTCGCGGCAGAAGGACTGACAGTTAAACTGCGGAAGTGTCAGTTTATCCGTGAAGAAATAGTATTTTTAGGACATAGAATCACGTCGGCGGGAATTTCGCTAGATCCTAATCGTGTTTCTGCGATAAACAAATTTCCTCGCCCTCGTAATGTAAAAGAGTTACGTTCCTTCCTGGGTCTTGTAAATTATGAACGGCGGTATTGTGAGCGCTACGCCGATTTGACAACTCCGTTGTTACATTTGTTGCGTAAACGTGAACCTTAGAGATGGGGTAACGAAGAACAGGAGGCATTTGCTAAAATTAAAAAAGCTTTCTTAGAATGCACGATGGTGAATCATCCTGATTTCGGCAAAACCTTTTATAAAGAATGTGATGCCTCAGATTATGCAATTGCGGGATGTTTGTTTCAGCTATCGAGCGATGGAAAAGGGAACAAAGAAATAATTGCATTTACTAGACGAACATTGAAAGGTAGCCAACTTCGGTATAAGGTAACGGAGAAGGAAATGTTAGCGGTGGTGCACTGTCTGCGGCAGTGGCGTATCTTAATTTTGGGATACTCATTAACCGTTCGGTGTGATCACAAGGCTCATAGCTTTATGATATCATCTAAACTCAAATCTGCGCGTATTTCACGATGGATTCTATTTATACAAGAGTTCGATTTTAAAATTGAGCTTATACCTGGCAAGGACAATTGCGTCGCGGATGTGCTTTCACGTTTTCCAGAAGACACACATTTAGGCGTTTTACCAGAAAACGGCAACGATTTTAAAATCATGAAGCTTCAGTTACAGGGAGATTTAAAAAATATTCGCGATAATTTCAAACAGATAAGAGTGGACCAATTGAATGAAGATTGGATTCGCGACAAGCTATTATTTCTTGAGAGTTTGGAAAGGGAGGTCCCGGTATTCTCTGAAAAGCAAAGAAAAATATCCGATTGGTATTTAGTTCATGACGATCTCTTGTTTAAGAGAGGAGATTCTCTAAATCCGGGATTTAAATTATGCGTACCGACTCGTCAAATACAGGAATTGGTCTTTACGATACATGAAAGCTGTGGACATTTCGGTAAGTCCAAAACATACAATGCAATGAAGCAGAAATTTTACTGGCCTCGGATGCAAAAACATATTCGCAAAATTACGGCTGCCTGTGATTTATGCCAAAAAGGTAAATGTTCGAAAATGAACCATGGTCCGTTTCATTCGGTGGTGCCGGAAAAACCGGGAAGTTTAGTGTGCACTGATCTCATTGGGCCATTGCCTAAGTCATGTGGGGGAGCTGCCTTTGTGTTAGTCCTCGTTGATGCGTTCTCGCGCTTTACTAAAGTATATACGTTGAAGAGGGCGACGACAAAAGCCATTTTAAACCGGATTGTCAATTATTACATTCCAATAGTATAGAAACCTCTCTGTATTCTTAGTGACAATGGGACGCAATTTACTAGCAAGGAGTGGTCTCAAACCTTGTCGAAGTTAGGAATTAAAACAAAATTCCTCTCGG